CCCCCCCCCCACACACACACACACATACTAAAAACATTGGGCCCAGATGGGGTTCCATGTTACTTTGGTTAAATCTGGCTCCATGCCTTTTGTTGCGAAAATCATGCACACGCTGGGGCCCCTGAACGACAGTACTTCCCGAGACTTAAGGTACTTATATAATATAAGGCGGTGCAGGATTTCCTCCGTCAAAGACACATCACAAGACCACCTTCAATGTGTGTGTACCTGCAGACCAGTACAAGTGCTCGCCATCTTGCACTACTAGAAAACCGGTGGCTTGTAGGTGATTATACAGTACCTTGCCGCGCTGCACACATACATACGGTAGTTTCCCCAAATAGGCGGGACCCCATATTTAGAAAATGGCCTTGCTATGGGAACCTCTAAAAACAAGGTACCCCCAGCTTTGGGAAATCCAGGTATTCCAGGACTAGATCATCCCTGTCTCCTTGCTGCTCAACTACCACGAAACCCTGTACAACCCCTACCCACTCCATAAATCCCCGTGGCTAAGGGTTTAGGATTTAGGGTTGAGGGCTAGGGTTTTTGAACAAGCCCGAAAAGGATCCCTTGCTCGCCGGTCCCATCGTATCTGAGGTACAGCCCCTAAACCCTAAACCCTGAACCTCAAATCCTAAACCCTAAACACTAAACCCTAAACCCTAAATCCTAAATCCTAAATCCTAAACCCTAAATCCTAAACCCTGAATCCTAAATCCCAAGCCCTGAACCCTTTAAAGAGCAGCTTCTGTTTAGAGAAACACGGCGCTTGCCCATTACTTGGAAGGTCAGGGGGCCTTACTAAGTAGGTTAACACTGGCATAAGTAGGGTTACTATATTGGTTATAGGGCTCATTAACGTACTAACTAAGTCCCCCTGACCTCCAAATAATGATATTCAGGACCAGAATACCCCTGTTGTTTCATTCCGACAGCTCAGAAACGACATGGTGGTTTCCCCAGACCCATGGACTCCAGATCAGAAAGCCCACTAAAAAGAAAAGGTTTAGGGCTTAGGCTGTAGTTTTTAAGGTTTAGGGTCATTTTCAAGAACCCCCGAAGTAAACGAAAGTCTAGGATCACGTCCATGGCGTCTGCCATCGCGGTGGATCATTCAAGTGGATCCCAGGCTTGCAAGTTTGCAGGCAAATTGCCACTGCTTTGTCCTCTGAGCAGGGGTTATAGGGATTATATACCCCAATAATGGGGAATCAAATGGATGGAAAATGAATGGAATCGACTAGTTAGGGTTTAGGTAGGGTTGTGGGGGAGATTATACGTACAGGGCCAACCGGGCTTGTGAAGTGAGAAAGGTCCAGAGTAGCCGTTGCTACTTTAGGGATGTGGAGTTTTCGGGGATCTCCTTTGCAAAAGGAACCCAACGCAAAAACAATGGGGAACAAGTGCACAGCAAAATCCGAGGCCATCAGTGCCTCGTTGATTCCGGATGTAGAAAGCGCTAGACAGGAAAATTAGGTGCACAGTTGAGCAAGCTATCTCTCTAACTGATTCCCAGGATATGCAAATTCATTAGAGTGGAATCTTTCTCCTTGGTGAGGGTGGTTTTCAAGAAACTGCTTCTGTAGCATACCCTAAACCCTCAACTCCTAAACCTTCAAACCTGAACCCTACACCCGCAACCCTACTGAACCCTAAACACCCTAAACCCTGCCCCCTTCACCCAAAAGGGGAGGAGGGGGTGTCCTGGGGGGTCCAGGCCCTCCTCTGCGAGCAAATTTCGAAACCGCAGCTCAAACTTTTTCAGCACCGCCTCGCGGGGGCTCCGGCAGCCCAGGGCCTCCTAAAGCCTCCCAAGGCCTTTGCAGGCCCTCTCCTCTCCCAGGCCAACTGAGTTTAGGTCCTAAACCCTAACAGAAATAGGTTTGGGTGGGTTGGCCGCCTCGCACGGCTCGGGGTGGGTGATTGGTCAGATGGCCCTCTACAGTCCGGCCATGGCAGCACCTCGCATGCAGCCATGCACTCGAAGAGCTCTTGACAGCAAACCCTGAACCCTAAACCCTGAACCCTAAACCCGCAACCCTGAACCCTAAACTCTAAGCCCTGAACCCTGAACCCTAAACCCTGAACCCGAACCCTAAACTATAAACCCTAAGCCGAGAACCCTAATGCCAACGTTGCTTGCCAACCCGGAGCCTATGGCTTAGTATGGAGTTTCCATAAACTGGGGGGGCCTCGATATACACCCTCAAAATACCACAGTCCTTATAGTAAAGGGCTTAGCTTAGGGTTTAAGGTGGTTTAGGGTGTAGGGTTTAGGGTAGGGATCCCCTAGAAAGATACCCTTAATTTTGGGAAACTACCATTTGGGATGTTGGGATCTATAAGGTTTAGTGTGTGGCTCCTGGACAGAAATGATGTGAGGAGTTCCCAGCCCTAAACTAAAAGCACATCAGGAAGGGAACCCTAAACCAGAAACCCTGAACCCTAAACCTTAAACCCTAAACCCTAAACCTTAAACCCTACCCTAAACTGTAAGCCCTCAACCCTCAACCTTAAGCCCTAAAGCTTTACGGTGAAGGTCTACAGCGGACCCTGGTCCCCCAGATTTAGGGCCTTCGCATTTAGACTTGAGAATCATCTGCAGGGTTTAGGCTCAACCCCAAAAATTCGGGAAGGGTTTAAGGTTTAGGGTTCAAGGTTTAGGGTTTAAGGTTCAGGGTTTCAGGTTTAGGGTTTAAGGTTTAGGGTTTGGGGCTTCGGGTTTACGACTTAAGTGTCATGACATTTGCTTACTGGGGCTTCTTAGGAAATAGGGGCATATAATCCTAACATGTCCCAATATGAGCCTTATATGATACATTCCCACATTCCGTCATGTTCCCTACTAAGCTCTTACTCACAAAGAATTGAGAGAAACCTAATCTAGAAGGTTAGCGGAGGATGGCAAGCTGGCTCCTTCTGGTAACATCTTGCGGAAGGATCGCAGCAGTTGGGATTGCGCATGCAGTTCACATGATAGTTTGGAATGCACGTCGATGCTGGCAGGGGCGTAGGAATCACAGGCGCCGGAGGTGGAGAGGGCGTTCCTTTGCCGACCACGCTGCACGTCCAAGGCGTCTGATACTGCGGCAAGTCATTGGAATGAATGCCAGGTGCGCCTAGGTATTTGGTCTTTTCTAGCTTTTTGGGGGTACCAATAAGACACGCATCCAATCAAGACCCCCCAGTAGACGCCCAGGCCTTTTTAGACCCCATGCAACCTAACAGGCTCCCTTATAGAACCTCTACTACATCCAATACTATCAAAAAGTTCTTCACAATAGAATTTACAGTAGATTATCCTCAAGCCCCTAGTTCCTCTTCTGGGTGATAAGAAGCTATATGACCTACAGTCTAAACTCCTAGTAGGCCCCCTATAGCCCCTATAGTAGTCCCCTATATAATCCCCTATATATACCCCCCCCCTCGTTAAGGAGTTTAGACAATAGCTCATATAGACTGCTGGAAATTCTATGGTACTTTTCCCCCACTCTGAGCTATCATCCCCGGGCCTCCCCTAAACCAGAATGTGATCCTATGATCCTATAGACTACAAGCCCTTTTCCAGAAGTTTAGGGTTTTAGGGTTTAGTGTTTAGAGTTTAGGGTTTAGGGTTTAGGGTTTAGGGTTCATCTGCAGGTGTCCCAAAATTAGGGGTACAGTACCTTCTTGGGAGTTCCCACAACAAGGGCTATAGCATATTGGGGTCTACATTGGGGCCCCCCTAATTTTGGAAAACTACCATTTTGTTCTACAGGAGTGCAAGCATCCGGAATGACTGGCAGGGCTTCTGGAGCTATGGGCTTGGGCTTTTACAGTTCCACCCAAGTAGATAGAATATGGCTTTGGGTATGTTAGCATAAGATCCCTGTATACCCCATATTCTATCTACTCAATGGGGGCTATAGGGCTTGAAGTTTACGGAGGGAAGTCCAATCACGCCTGCCTTCGGTTCCGATGACTTTGATTCAGAGTAGCGCAAGTCACATTTGGTCAATAAACCCTAACCCTAAGCCCGAAGCCCTAAACCCTTACTGCCCAGGGACAACTGTGAAGGCACACGGCAACAGCATTGTCTTTTGCGTAGCATGTGGTCGTCGGATCACAGCAATTCCTGGGGGCTTGGGGGCTTCGAATTTCAGGTTGCCAGTCTGAGATTTACTTGCAGGCTGTTAGTAAGGAAGGAGGAATGGATCTCAGGAATCCTTGTAAAACTCCCAAATTTGGTCATAGCTATAATTTCTGTTCCATTCTCCCATTCCCTACTAACAACAAATAAGTTCAGGGCTACATCCGTGCCAGCCATGCAGAGCAGACACATGCGCAAACTGTCTTCGAAGGTTGAACCACGTAAGATTGATTTTTTGCAAATCCTATATTCCGAAGAAGGACTTAGTAATATTGCTCTTTGGGGACTACAGGACACCAAAACAGAATACCACTCAACTAAAGCCGGTCTCGGCCTTGCCCTCTGCAGAACACGCTTTCGGGTGTGGGGAAGGAGTATTCAAAACAACTCCCTACGATAAATCCAAAAGGCGGCCACGATAATTCTTTGTGAATTGCTAACTATCCCTATGATTCCCCAAGGCCCCGCACGGACCAACCACAGACAACTTCTTCAAGTCCTTAATCTTCCTGCGGCTCGCCGACTTTGGGTTTAGGATGAGACTAGCAAGCATGCTCCTTGCTTTGGTCAATGCCTGTTGACACGTGCTTCCGAAACCCTAAACCCTAAATAATAAGGTTTTTGAGATCAAATACTATAATATCAATGGTATTCGGCCCCCTAAAACCCTATTATTTGGGTCCTTGGACCCTTAGGGGTTGTTACCATTACGAAAACCCATATTCGTAGCCAAAGCTTCGGGTTGTGCATGCAGTTCACGTGGTACGAGGGAACACAGCTGCCTCGCAAGCTCCGGGTCTCATTGCCAGCTCTGGCTACTGCCAGGCCGATGAATCCAACGAGCAGACGCATGGCTGTAATGCAAGGGTCTCAAGCAACTTACAGGCACTTGGCGACTAAAATCTCCTACAAAACCTGGAGCTTAGGGGTTTAAGGGCTAGGAGCCACGGAGTTTCGACATAATGGTAACATCTGACAATGTGTGGCATTGCCGGCAGGTGCTCCCTCTCTCCGACAACAGAAGTAGCATGTCGCCGCGTTCATGCTTTTGCTGGGCCATACTCCCGGCAATCAGAACTCCTCTTGCACAACCACGGCTCGTGAAGGCCCAGGTTACTTGCAGGGTTAGGAGCAAGAACATTTCTACAGTGACACCCCCTTTATGCCAAATGAACACCCGATTCTCCCCAGTCTACATCCTAGATGCTTTACCCTGAACCCCAAAGAAGCCAAGTCCAAGTCCGTCAAGCTCCAGCCCCCGTAATAGTGAAAAAAATGTAGATGGACCCTCGGACAGTTGCGGCAATCACCGGGTGAGGGCTGAACCTGGTGCCTAATCCTCTCCGTAATGAAGTAACACCCCCACACCTTAATGATGCTTTACATTCCCCATCTGGGACCCTTTTGGGGGGGGGGGTCCTATAAAAAGGATTCTAGTATGTTGGATATTGGGGTTCCCCCATTCATGGAAGCTACTATATAATGCCCTGATGTCTTAAGGGGAGTATCCATCAGAATGCTCGTGCGGGCTGTATGATTGGATCACTTGGAGGCTGCTGCCAATGGCGGGTTAGAGTTTAGGGTTGAAGGTTTGGGGCTTATGCAGAAGTCAGGTACTTCGTAAGTATGTTAATGACTGCGTGAACTGGGTCATTTTATGGCACATAGACAGGCTAATGATGGTCCCACTTACATAGCCCCAAGAAAAGAAACCTTCAGACCTCCGCAAAGGGACCTCTGATCACCCTAAACCCTGAACTAAACATGCATTACCCTAGACCCTAATCCGAGACCCCCCCTGGATGACTACACCGTAGCAGGTGACCAATCAGATGAGAGATTGATATGAGCGACACGTCTTTTCACCGGGGTTGCTCGCTAACGATGCTTGTTTTGGACATGGATCTAGGGTTTAGGGTTTAGGGCTTAGGGTTTAGGGTTTAGGGTTTAGGATCAAGGTTTCAATTTAGGGTTTAGGGTTTAGCATCATTATGAATCAGCCGCATGCTTTTTGCGTCTCGTTGTTCAGGATGCACAGGAGACCGTACGGATGAACCGTACTCAGCTCTTCTAGAATGCCATGATGCCAGTCCTTTCAGACAAGCAATGCCACTCATCCCTCTACAAGTTCACCAGATCAAAGTAAGAAATGTTGTTAACACTAGGGGTTTAGGGTTTAGGGTGTGAACACAAGGGGGTTCTCAAAATTGCCTTGTTGGGGGTCCCTTCCAAAAAAGTGTAGTATTTTGGGGTCTATATTGGGGGTCCCTGCATTTTGAGAAGCAACCACATACATCCTCAGCTATAGCAAAAGGCTTTGCCAGTCCTTCAGACAAGCATTGCCACTGCTCTCTTGAAAATCAACAGAAGAAGGTGTGAAACTGTGGGGAGGCGATGGTAGTCTGGTATTCTCGAAAGGTCTGCTTCTGTTTCTGGAAGATTTCCAAATGAAAGTGTGACACTCTGAGAAGCTGAACGAGCATGGCCGTGCAAGCCACATTAAAAGAAAAAACTCCAATTTTTCCCGATTATTCGTCTACTTGCTACGTCCCGCCTGACTCTCCGTAAGAACTACTCTGTCTCAGCTAGATCAAAACGGTGGGAAACAAAAGAGAGAATGCTGGTAGAATTCTTGGTGTGATAAAACTAAATCTCGATAGTTGGATGCTTTGTAGAGTGGCGAAATTTCGTCGTAAAATGACCTACATGCTGTAGGCGACCCATGAAAGATCTTTCGCGCAGCCTTTAAAAACTGTAGGTCACTAGTCCGGTGCTGCCATTGGCAACAATTCTTTCACAAGTGGCTGTGTGTCCCTCCAATGCCTGCAACAAAAAAGGTGGCGCTTGGAGCTCATGTGCTAGATCGATGGCTGTTCGATTGCGCGCATTGCGCAAATCCACGCGTGCTCCTCCAGCCTGAATCTGCGCTGATGCCCTTTGGAACATGAATGTGGGGTTACCTATACTAAGGATTGTAGCAGTTTCGGGTCTATATTGGGTCCACCTACTTTTGGAAACTGACAAGTCTAGCTGTGTACGGGGCCTTAATGAATACAAGAAAAAAAGACATTGTCATGACATCCCCAGCAACAAGGACAGAGGCAGCAGCCTCATACTGCCCCGTCAGGATTGCCAGCATCAGCGGGGTTGCTCTGTAACAGTGATAAGCGAGTCTGGAAGCAAACCTCAGCAGTCTAGAAAAATCCAAGAAAAGGCCTCAATTTACTGTAGAAGCCTATGAGCGCAGTAATACCGAATTATTCGATTGCCGCCCTTGTGTAACCCTAAACCCTTAAACCTCAACCCTAAACCCTAAACCGTGTCATACTGCCCTTCACTTGGAGGGTCAGGGGGACTTTGCGTATATACTAAAGATCTTGCATGACCCTAAGTACATGATACCTTAGGTAGACCCCACCACCCAAAATTAGTGATATAATTAAGGATATACGAGGGCCTTAATAAACGACCATTATCTCGTTTAGTTACCATTACTGGCTGGGGGGTCCACCTAAATCATACTTTGAGAATTGTGGCAATAATTAAGTAAATAGCCCCTGTAGGCAAGGTAGTCAGGGATCCTAAACCCTGAACCCTGAATAACATATAGCAGATAACGTAAACGTAAACTAAAGGCAACATATAGTGTATAGCACATGATCTATAACCTAAACCCTAAACCCTAAACCTAGTTTCTGCTTTTGTTTTCCCATTCCTTAGTCCCGTGACCCTCCACGTAGAGGCTTCGAGTTGCAGAATCTGGCTGCATGAAGCTCTTAGGGTTTAGGGTTTAGGGGGTTGCTGTTGTGGAACTTACAGTAAGTGACCATGTTATGGGTATTTAGGGTCTAAGGCTTAGGGCTTCAGCTACCACATTATGGATATACAGTAAAGACATGGGCTTCCTTATTATCGTGATGTGATTTAAGTTCTCTAACAACAACCCAGCATCCAGCTGAGCAATACCTGGAGGCTTAATGGACGTGTAGG